AATAAATTCGAAAAATTTAATGACCTGACCCTCGAACAACAGAAAACTACATCAGGTATTGAGCGCTTTGACTGGGAAAGGACTGGGAATCTCCAGGTGGAATGTAAAAAAAAAAAAAAAAAAAAAAAAAAATGTAATGAAATTTCAAAAGAAAGCAAAGCGAGTCACATGAAGTTCATTTTCCACTTGTCTCGTCGTGTTTAATTTGTCTTATGTACTTATCTACTTATTACCTATCTTATCAATTCTAATTACCATTAATTAGTTTCGTATTTATCTACTCTAAAATCTAATCTTATTAATTTATCTAGTTTTAATAGCATCTAATCATCTAGTTTTATATGATGTAATATAATCTTAATCTGATTACCTAATCTAATTCATATCTGATTGTCGAGGTTAATATATCTAAATTTTTATCGTATCCCCTAATCTAATCTTATCTAACGAATCTATCTATTTTTTCATCTAATTATCCAATCTTGCCAATCCCTTTCATATCTAATCACTGGGACAAGAGCAGTCCACTGACATAATCTCCAGAGAAAACCAATGATTTATTTGAAGGAATCCGCATCCCCACTTTGCTGTGATAATACGTGGTATGATGACATTTCCGAACATGCACGCGCCGTTTCACTACCCAGATGGAAAGCTATTTGAAGTTGGAAATGATCTTATAATCGTCATCAGTTTGATAAGAGAGATGGATGTCATTCGATGCTCTGGCTGCCGCTCTAGATCTCCGTTTCTGATTTTTCCACAATGTTCGCATGGTCTTTTTCTCATTTTCTCAACTTTGGCCAAGTATGTCTGTATATTTAGCTACACTTACGCATTCTGAATGACAAACACTCATCTTAATGAGAAATGAGAAGTAAATGCATAAATGTATGTGCATACATACATACACACATACATACATACATACATACATACATACATACATACATACATACATACACACACACACACACACACACATATATATAATAAATAATAATATATGTATATATATATATATATAATATATATATATATATATATATATATATATATATATATGTGTGTGTGTGTGTGTGTGTGTGTGTGTGTGTGTGTGTGTGTGTGTGTGTGTGTGTGTGTGTGTAGATAGATAGACAGATAGATAAATGGATTGATATAGATATACAAACTAATGCTAATATCAATTTTCCTCGCATATGTTCACATGATACTGAGACATTTTAACAAACATTCAGCATACATTACGCACCCCCCCCCCTTGTAAGACCCTTGCGTTCCAGGTGTATCATCCCCCTATTACCCCACACACTCCCCCCACCCACCCACCACCCACACCACACACACACACACACACGCACATACACAGCCTCCTTGTTAAGACCAGGGTGTTGACTCAAATCTTACACGAGACACGGAGCACCTCCAACCACCGGCGTAATTCAGCACCGTCCTTCATTCCCGGGGTTGCTGAACCTCGCCCCCTATCCCTCTTCCCTCGCCCTCCTGAGTTCACATGTATCCTCTTTCCTCCCTTCCCCTCGCCCTCTTTAATACGAGGTTCCTCCTCCCTTGCCCTTCTTCCTGGGGTCACGAGGTACCCCCTCCCCTCACTCTCCTTCGCGAGGTCACATGGTTCCTCTTCCCCTCGTCCTCCTTCCCGGGGTCACAGATCCCCCTCCCCTCGCCCTTCATCCTGGGGTCTCGAGTGCCCCTCCCTTCCCCTTGCCCTCTTCGCAGGCTAAGAGTATCCCCCCTCCCCCGCCCCCTCCTCCTTCGGCCTCGATCGCCGGGTCACGAGGAACGCGACGCACGCCTCCTCCCAGGACACTGCACCACGTGTCCCTGGCCTGGCGAGAGGCGGGCGGCCCATGATGCATGTATGGCTCTCTCTAATGAAACAATTTCTTCCATCAGGCCATGACGTCACTGATTGACGTCACGGTCTGATGAGGCTGTAATCCCATCACGGAAGGTCATGCCCGGAGGACGGCCGAGCCACCTGAACTGCGACTCAGCTGGCCTGGCCCGGTGCATCATGGTACGACGCCGTGGAATTGGGGAGATGCGGCTTCTGCCTTTCCACAAAGCGAAGGCAAGGCAAAAATGGATGGAATTATATAAACGAAGCATCACTGTGCAGGAATATCCACTAAGATATTCTCAATACTTTAATACACGAGGAATGTCGAAACACTGTGATTCCTTTCATATGATGTTCCCCGACTGGTCGAAAATGAGATCCTTAGGATATACACGAGAAAAAATGTATATGATTCTGATCTGCAACTAATGTCCCCGTTACATTATAACATTCCGTGAGAGAAAGACACAAGCAAACACACACAGACAAAACCGCTCAATCATTTCCCTTAAAAAAAGTCCAAAGAATCCAAAAGACGACAAACTATCACACCCCTCCCCCTCCCCCATCACCCCTCACCCCCTAGGTCCTCCTCCTGACCAGCCAAGGTTCCCCGACCGAACGGCAGCCGCTGCGCACACGCCCTCGGCTCTCAGGAGGAAGTTTTATGTTTGGTACATAAATAGTCGAAGGGCCACAGCAAACACTCGGGAGCTCTCACTGCGCGGATCTCCCATTTTTGCTCCCGTCGCGGCCGTCTAACAGCGATAGTCTGCTTGGCATATTCATATCGTCTTTTGTGATTTGTCTTTGCTGCTCCATCATCTTGGTCTTTGATATGGATAAGGATGGGGGGGGGGGGGGGGTAAACTGGGTTTTTTCTTCTGTCTTTTGCTTTTAACACTGGTAACACTAAATAAAAAAGCTGGAAATAATAAAGTAATGTTCTACTGTGATAACGATTGTGAAGATGACGACTATGATGATTATGATGAACAACAACGGTCAATAACAACAACACCAATAATAATAATAAAGTAATAATCGCCATCATCAACACCATCATCATCACAAGAAGAAGAAGAAGAAGAAGAAGAAGAAGAAGAAGAAGAAGAAGAAGAAGAAGAAGAAGAAGAAGAAGAAGAAGAAGAAGAAGAAGAACAACAACAACAACAACAACAACAATAATAATAATAATAATAATGGTAATGGTCATAGTAATACTGATAATGATAACATTAATGATAATAACAATAACAATAATAATACCAGTAACAATAACAATAGCAATATCAAAACATAAGAATCATCATTAATAATAATAAATATCATATCAATTATAATAATAATATCAATTATTACACTACTACTATCACTACTAAGTGCTGCAACTGAAATTAATAATAATAATGAAATAATAATACTAATAAAAAAATAAAAATCATTTTAAAAATTAATGATAATAATGATGATGCTGAAGCTGTTATTATAATAAAAATAACAACAACAGCAACAACAACACCAACAATACAAATCATGTTAATAATAATCATCATCACAATAATAACAATAATGATAACAATGATCATAACAACAACAATAATGAAAATACAATTGCACAGGCAACAGCAATTTCCATTCCCCAAAGCAAATGCAAACCGAAATCTTAAGACAAAGTAAAATGCAAGTCCAAAGTTAAGAAGAGGCACGGAGAATAAACGGTTTAGTGCCAAGAAGACAAGGATAACAGAAAGAACAGATAAGGGGAGTGTCGAGTAGGAGAAGGAAGAAAAGTTGCGGAGGACGAAATGCAAAGGCAAAGAGGAAGAGGAAGAGCAAGAGCAAGAGAAGAGAGAGAAGAGCAGAGCAAGAAGAGCAGAGAAAGAGAGAGAGAAGAGAGAGAGAGAGAGGGAGGAAAAAGTTAGGAAGGACGAAACGCAAAGAAAGAGAATAGAACTGGAAAAGAGGAAGAGAAAGGAGAGAGAAAAGTTTGAAGGAGAAACGCAAAGGGAAAGAGAGAGATGAGTAGTGAAAGAGAGAGAGAGAGAGAGAGAGCGAGAGAGCGCAGAGAGAGCGACAGAGCGCCGCAGGAGACAAAGGGCGTCGGCAAGCCACGAGGGCGCAGCAGAGGGCCAAGGAGGCGTCCTCGCCCAGAGGTCCTCGCATCCCTCTCCCTCTTGCGCCGTTTTTCCTCGGAATCACTAAACACAATATCCACTCCTCCGGCCGCCCTCGCCCCTGCCGGTCGCATCGCGCTATAAAGATGGCTAAACTGTGCCAAGGGCAATACTTTCACTTCTCGATGGTAATTATCTCAACAATTATACATCTCGCCAGCACCTACAACCCTAGGCAATTAACATTTTTTTCCCGACGTAATCTATTCCGCGATACCAACAAGGTACTTTTCGCTTTACCTCCATTCCCCGCCCTCATCTGACCCTTTGTGACCTTTATTAAATAGTCTCCTGATTCCCTCTCGACCCCTTATGCTTCTCACCTCTTTGTATCTCGGACTCATCTACTTGCATATTCTTAAGACTTCGTTTTCCCCCCTGCAACATCTGCATCATTTCACTCACGTCTATTTATACTTTTCTCCTCTTCTCTTGTCGGGAGGACGTGGCATCTCTCGTCCATTCTGCTTCGTTTGTTTGTCTGCTTCTTGTGCGTGTGTTTTCCCCCCTCAAGTCAGCAGTTCGAATTGATATTCAGAATTCCCGGGCGATATTCTCACCCTTGTCATGCTGCTCCGCGTCGGCCGCACGTCCCGCCGCGTCAGAGAACAGTGCATCAGGAGGTGATAAGGCCGTGTCCTTTTCCTCCGCCGACAATATTGCCCGACAAAGGCCTCGTGCGAATGTCCCCCTTTTCTCTGACCTAGCACGTCCCCCGAGCATGACCTCGAGCTTATTGTCACTTCCTCCGACCCATCACGTCGCCTGGGTCGGGTCCGCGCGAGTGCTGACTGTCCCTGGCTCCTTGTCCATCAGGCGAGGGCGGCCGGGATAGCGCGGGTATTGTGGTTCCCTCCGCCATTGCACGCAGCCTGGCTGAGACCCCGCCGGTATTGGCCCTCCCCTGCTGATGCATGATTCAGGGCGTCGCGGCGGTGAGTCCTCCGCCTGTCCGTCTAATGAATAACCTGCTCGGGGCCGCTCCGTTTCCGCTGCTCTTCGTCGGGATATCGCTCACTCCGAGGGCCGCCGCTGACACGGCCGCTCGACTCGCTAACTGGGAAGCTGTTGGGACCGGAATACACGGGTCGCCATTACCAATAACGCATCCTTCCTTGCGCCATGAATTATGCATCTCTCCTCTCCTTGGATATTGCATGAATAAATGCGAAGTCATTTGCGCGAACCTTGCCTCTAATTCTTTGCATAAACGTATTTCACTTTCAGATGATTAAATACGTAATAAACACGATCGGTCTCCATGGGTTTGCACATTTCCCTTATGTCGACACGAAGGAAATTCTGCCACATATTGCAGACTTTCATGCATAGATAATGCAGAAACAACCCAATTCCATAACACTATTTTCACAAGATCATGCGAGTTCACCGACTGAGCGAAAACGGACTCCTCTGAATGCATCGGAGAGTACTGATCCGGTATAACTCATGCCATTGTGCACTGAAGTTTAAGTAGAGTTTGATGAGTTTAATAGATCAGATGATTGCAATTCGCTGAATTTACCTGACTCCCTTTGTACTATTCAATAAATATTCATGTGAATAGACATGAGTCCTCTATTCGTCAGTTTTGTTTCGGAAGAATCATAGCTTTGTTATCAGATGAAATCGAAGCAAAAACGCACTTGTAAATGAATAAGAATCTGTCCATTTTACTTTATTTAAAAACAACGGCAACAACACTAAAAAGAGAGAGGTAGAAAAAAAAATCATTTCGCATTCTCTTAACCCAAATCCTTTATCACAATTAACATTTCTCTCTGGCCGCCTTCAGGTTACCCACTCCCTCTCCATCTAATTTCGTCCCCCTCCTCTCCGCCCTTAGGCCATACCCCCCCCTCCTCCTCCCTACTTACCCATACCTTTCAAATAATCATCCAGTTCCCCGGGCGACTTTTTCTCTCATCCGCCGGAAGCTGGGGAAAGCTACGGCACGATTCGATAATTTATTCTAGTCGATGGATCATACACATCGCTGCGGTGAAATACATGGGTATATTCTGACCGAACAGAATTTCATAAAAGGTGGTCTTTCTGCACAGTCTCTAATACGCTTTTCCATTCGCATCATATTCGGATAACACGGCGTTCGAGAATAACAACTGGATACAGATTTAACTTTGGAATAATCAAATTAATGATTTTCATATCATAGTCATTGTTCATGTTTTTATATCTATAAGAATATTCTTGGTATAACTATTACCGTTTTTGATCACTATCAACATTATCATTTTTGTTCCCATTACTATTATTATCAACATTATTCTTATCATCCGTATTTTCTTACCGGCACTATCATTGCTACAATTCGTTATTATTTTTAGTATCATCATCATCTTAATCATCATCACTTTTACAACTTGTGGCGCACCAACGAAACATCAAAATAGCAGACATGGCATAAGTTTTTAAACATAAGTAGCACAAACTCCAAAGAGAAGTCCGTTTTGCTGATTAAAAGTTATACCAATTCTAGTTAAGCTACTTACTCACCGACACCCCTCCCCCCCCCCCTTACCCCTCCAACCTCTGACCTGCGTTCCCTAGATCTGCCCCGTACACACACTCACACACACAGACACACACACACACACACACACACACACACACACACTCACACACAGACACACGCGCACACACACACACACATACACACACACTCCCTCACTCACACACACACACAGACACACACACACACTCACAGTCATATTTACATTCGCACTCTCACTCTCACTTACACATACACACACACACACGCCATTTGGGGCAAATATTTTCCAATACTTTTTGAATATCCTCAATGTACAATCTAAACAAGTTGCAAAGACTATACAAAAAAAGAGTCCTTGCTTTTGAACACGTACATTTCCTCCCTTTTCCTCCTCCCCCTTTATTTCCTCCTATTTCCACGTTTTCCTTCCTCTTCCTCCCCCCCTTTATTTTCCATTTATCTATCTATTTATTAATTGACCTTTCCACACGTACATTTCCTTCCTCTTCCTCCCCCTTTATTTCCATTAATCTATTTATTAATTGACCTATTTCCACACGTACATTTCCTTCCTCTTCCTCCCCCCCCTTTATTTCCATTTATCTATCTATTTATTAATTGACCTATTTCCACACGTACATTTCCTTCCTCTTCCTCCTTATTTCCATTTATCTATCTATTTATTAATTGACCTATTTCCACACGTACATTTCCTTCCTCTTTCCTCCCCCTTTATTTCCATTTACTATCTATTTCCTATTTCCACACGTACATTTCGCTCTTCCTCCTCCTTTATTTCCATTTCTATCTATTTATTAATTGCCTATTTCCACACGTAGATTTCCTTCCCTTCCTCCTCCCCCTTTATTTCCATTTCTATATTTATCAATTGACCTATTTCCACACGTACATTTCCTTCCTTCCTCCTCCCCCTTTATTTC